ATATTTATTCAATTACCTGACCATCAGGCTACACAATTCTGTTCCAGAAAGATGCACTTCCCTATAACAACCCAGTAACCCTCTTTCCTCTTCCACAAGAAGAAACACCTGTAAGACTTTTACATTAGGTATAGTTTGTTGGTTATACACTAAAAAAAGAATGAACAAGCCAGGGTCCAGTTTCATAAACCAAATAAAACATTTTAAGCCAGCTCCTTAGCATTTTTCTTTGATAAGAAATGCTTTCAACTAGAAATTTAACCACTTTTAACAAAAACCAAACTCTTGCTACCTAACAGTTCCGGAGTTCTTCATTCCACAATATTTCTGTCACATACATATAGCCCATTTTATTCCTCATACTTTGATTTGATAATAACACATTCATGCAGAAATGTTAGAGAATGTATGTTAAAACAAATGACAAAGTAAATAACTAAAGAACTTGAGCTTTTCTTTTAATTATATCTGTATTTTATTTATATTTAAACCCTACAAAGGGGCTGCCTCAGCATCCCAAAGCAAACAACAGGCAGACTTATATAATGCCTTTATGAGACATACCGTAAAGCTACAAACTTAATGATGAGCAAACCCCATATTCAGGTCCCATAAACCAAGGACCAGCTTCAAGAAGGCAAGAAACTCAACGGCTGTCTGACAAACAGAAAACCCATCAGCAAAGCAGCAGGCAGGTTCACTACGCTTAGTGAACCACAGGACAACTGATGATATTTGTACCGACCTAGTAAAATAAACCATGTTCAGAAATTAGACTTGTACATATTCTGCCTAAAAATTCTCCTACAAAAAATACATGTGAATTCAGGTGTTTGTGCCTAGGTATGTGGGTAAACAGCCATCACGACGTATTTGGCCACTGAAGGTGGAAGACCACTACACAATTCACTTAAAACGTCACATCACCGCATGCTTCTTATACCATCTTCATACGCTTGAAATTCCATGCATGCATTTAGGAAGTAGTATGTTTTCTATTCAACGTCTTTAAAGGTAATAAACTTCTCACCTGTTGTTAATAAATGTTGGCTTCTTTTTTGCTTTACGAATGAAAAACAAAAACAAAACCAACAGCCCTACGTATTTCATTTCACAAAGAATGTGGGCAGAGGCTTTCCTTTTCTCAGCCTCCATTCCCTTTGCCTCCTCTTCCTCGTCTACTCCTCAGCAGTCCTGGTTTCACGGGAATAACGGACGGACACAGGCAGATGTGATCGACAAAACCTGTCAAGTGTAACGATTCACCCCACCTTCCGGTCGTTATAAACGCAGCAGGGTTGGCGCTTTTTCTCCCGCGCCCTTAAAGAACCAATTCCACCTCCTCCAGCAAGCAGCTCCGTTCACCCCCCACACCCCGTTTGTCGCACCAAGACACGTCCCCCAACATCTGCTCCTAACTCTGGCCCTCCCCGCCCAAAGACACCCACTCACAGTCCGGGCTGCCTCCTACGCTTAACAAATCGTCCCCATCCAGGGCACTGTTCTCTTCCCATCTCCCCAGAGCACCCCACAATTCCAGTTCTCCTCCCCTCAACCACCCCCCATCCGCACGCCCCTGCCCCTCCTCAGGGCTCCCTCCCCGGCCCCCCGAGGCCGGCCGCCCAGTCCAACCCAAACGTTGGGGAGCAGAGAGGCAGGGCCGTCGTTCTTCGTTTCCTTCCTCCTCACACCAGCCCCTCCCGCCGGGAACAGGCCGGCGTCAGTACCTGAGGCTCCCGGGGAGCTCCCGGCAGCTCTCCCGGGCTGGCTGCGCTGGGCGGGCGGGGGAAGGAGTCGGAAGCCGAGAAAAAAGGCTGGGAGGGGGAGGTAGTCAGCGCAGACCCTGCTTCGGCCGCGGCGCCGCAGCTGCGCCCCCGCTCATCGAGCCGATCGGCGCTCCGCGGCCGGGCCCCAGGCGGAGGGGGCGGGTCCAGGACGCGGAGATCGTCGAGGGAGTCGATTCCGCTCTCTGCTCTTCACCCAGAAGGCTCCCTGGGGATCTGGATCCCCAAGATTATGTTGCGTTTTAGGGGGGAACAACAACTGGTTCTTGGGGACCCGGCTGGGATCGAGCGTGCGTGGAAGGGCTCTCAGGGGAGGTCTGGGAAGCGCTGAGAAGTCACTCAGGGCGGGGCGCTGGGGTTCGTGATTGGGGTTGATGAGGCGTTTATAAGGTGGGCTTTGTGCAAGGTCCTTCCCCCGGGCCAAGGAAGTTGAGTGGAAAGAGGAGGATGGCTCACAGCTCGAGGACCTGCTTCGGACCAGGAAATTTGTCTGATGCCCTGTTTTCAGAATTAGATAATAGGAATATCTGATCCAGAGAGGAGGTTTACTTAATGTTGCACAGCTGGTTTGGACAGCTAGTTTGGGACAAGGACTGTTTTTTCCCCTGTATCTTTTGGTTGTAACCTAAAAAAACTAGGTCCAGACACGGAGCCTTCAGGTTTCAGGTGGGAAATCACCTTTGCATGGCCATTCTATTACTCTATTCACCCCCCATCCCACCCCCCGCCTTCAAGGATTTGATACATTTAAACCTTCAAGTCTGCAGTTGCTGCCTATAGTAATCCCAATTTCGTTTTTGCTTTTTCTTATTTTTACTTTACCATTCATCCGATGCCCCAACTAGATTGTTCAACCCATTTTTTTCCTGTGATTTGTTTATGAAGCGTCTTTTTAACTTTACCTCTGGGTCCTTTGTTGATACAATGTTTTAATGGCCTGAAATACTGTGCCAGGCACTTTCTGAAAACATAAAAACAAGAGGGGGTGTTCAAGAACAAGAGGAGACAAGAACAGGAGGAGGAAAGCTCTGCTACACTGAAGGGGAGAACAGACACCCTCTTACTAGCTGCTCTTTTGGTTGGTGTTGTTTTGATTTAAAAGTGCACTAATTGAAAGATGCCTTGGCTAAGGTAATGATGCTCAACTCTAGGTGGATTACCTGGAATTGCATCACCTGGAAAGCTTTTAAAACTACTGATGAGCGGGCACTACTCAGATTCTGATTGAACTGGTCTGGGATTTTGAGAACAATAAGCCATAGGTGTCAGTCGAAACTTCTGAAAACGGGGTGTTAGACTCATTCAACTAGCTTAGAGTCTATTACTCCAGAGTCAGGCAGACTTGGACTGAAATGGCCCACCTAGAACGGAAGCTTCTTATAATTTGTATCTCTGCCTGGGCATTAAGGTGAGATTATCCCAGGCTTTACAGATGACCCAGAAGTTATTTTTTTCATCCACGGTTGATCTTACACTTGTATATTTGTTCGATGGGGGGCTTCTCTGCTTTGGTGCCTTAGCCATTAGAGCATTAGCCAATTACAGCCTCGGCCCTTACATATGGACAACTTAAGGCAATATGACTATTGAGCTGTACAGGCATGTTATTACATAGCTTCTATGAATAATCCATTCCTTTTTCTTAACCATAATTCTTTAGTTCTGCCAATCATTTTGTTATGATTGCTTAGGGGAGGGGTATTGCAAGCCCCACCCTTTCATAACCTAAACAAAGTCCCTTTGAATACCCCCAACATTTGTGAAAGCTTAGAAAATGTCACTTTACAGTTAACAGGAGTCAAATACATGAGTAAGCCTGAAAAATGATAACACTAAACTTGGAGTCAGAACTCCAACCAACTTGAGTTGATTATTTCCTCCCCTATTTTATTTTTCATGAGTTCCAATTATTCAGATGTTAGTCCTGTAATTTCATTACTTTTCTTTTCAATATGAGACCTTCACCCTTGAGAAGGCTTGGTGTCCTCTTAGCTGGTTTTGCCCTCTTCTGAGACTAAATCTCTGGGCTTCTGCTGGGATGGGGAAGGGAATCTAAATATCTGATTCTTTTTTTTTTTTTTCTTTTTGTCTTTTTTTTTCATGACCGGCAACGGATTGCAACCCTCAGTGTCGTGCCCATACCGGGCCAGGACCGGCAACGGGATCGCAACCCTCGGTGTTGCTCCCGCACCTCACTCAGCCAGTGAGCGGCAGGTCTGTATGTGGGATCCGAACCCTCCGCAGGAGCACCGCCGCATTCCCAAGCGGCGCGCTGTAGCAGTGCGCCACCAGGCCGGCCCTAAATATCTGATTCTTAAACAAACTTTGTCTTTCCTCCTATATTTAGCCCATGTCATGCTCTCTTCCAGCACTACCTGGTGCTGCCAAGCCTTATGCAGGATTTAGCTGTGTAAATCAGTTCGCTTCACGGCCTACTCAGGATTCCTATTTCTCAAGTCTGCTTACGTAAATGCCACTTGATTCATCTACTTTCCAGCTTTCGATACTTTGTTGCTATTGTCTCCTCTCTCATAAGGCAGAAAAGAAGTACAAATCAATTATTTTTTTTTTTTTGTCTTTTGTCTTTTTCTGTGTCCGGCAACAGGATCGCAACCCTCAGTGTTGCCCCCGTACCGGACCGGGGACCGGCAACGGGATCGCAACCCTTGGTGTTGCTCCCGCGCCACGCTCAGCCACTGAGCGGGAACCGGTCTGTATGTGGGATCCGAACCCTTGGGCGGGAGCGCCGCCGCGCTTCCCAAGCGGCGCACTATCCAGTGCGCCACCGGGCCGGCCCTACAAATCAATTATAAGCATGTGAACAAATGTTCAATCTCAAAATGTAAATCAAAATAAGCAGTGAAATACCATTTTTTATCTATCAATGACTGGGAAGGAAGGAGTTAAGCAGAAGATCTGCAATCCATTCTCTCCCTTCATAGGGGTATATTCCTAGGAAAGCAAACAAGCATGTGGTTCTTATAAATATGGCAATAACCAGCCCTCTGGCAACTAAACTAATGGTATTTGCTAGCAGGAATGTCCATATCTATGGAGTTCCTTTAGCAAGATGTTCCTGAGCTGAGATTGCTTATTATAAACATATAGGAATGTATGTGGATTTGAGGTCTGTGACTTCTTGGCAAATACCATTTAAGTTATGTAACTCAGCACAAAATGGAGATGTTTCATAACTGACTTGGCTTCTTTTGTGTAAGTGCGGTGATGACACACCTTATTTAGAAACCACATCTTTATCCTGGGCTAAGATACATCCAAAGCAGGAAGAAAGTACCTGCGGAGTGGCAATAAGTCGTGGACCTCACTCCCTACCTTGTACCTTTTGATTACTGGGAGTCTGGACTAGGAAAATAGAATAACTTAATCAGGCCCCCTAACCTTGGGGCAGATTGGGGGTGGTACAGCATTCTTTGTGGGCAGGTTCTGTGTGGGTGGAGTTAGTTCGCCTATGTGGTGCCGCCACCTTGGCTGGAGTTTACTGCGTTGGGGTTGCTGCACTGCATGCAGCCATGCTTTCGGATCTGTGGCTTCCAAGGACCCGTTTGCCTGTTACCTGGCTCATAGACCTGCTTGTGAGGGGTCTAGTGACCCAGCCTGGCATGTGAAGTGTTTGTGACCCAGTCTGTGAACAGGCTTGATGGGTCTGTGAGCTCCAGACCCAGCCCTAGCCTTAGCTCGGCAATTGGCCCAGTTGGTGAAGGGTTACGGGCAGGTAAAAGAGCTCCACAATTGGCGATGTCAGCAGGATTCCAACATTAGCCTGAGCGCCACAGTCTGTCACGGAAAGTGTTATGGACTAAATTGTCCCCTCAAAATTCATATGTTGAAGCCCCAACCCCCAAGTGACTGTGTGTGGAGATAGGGCCTTTAGGGCAGTAATTAAGGCTAAATGAAGTCATAAGGGTACAAGTCTAATCCAATAGGGCTGGTATCCGAATGCATGGGCCATGTGAGGACACAGCGAGAAGGTGGCTGTTTATAATCCAGAAAGAGAGGCCTCACCAGAAACCAACCTTGATGGCACCCCGATCTTGGAATTTTATTCTCCAGAACTGTGAGAAAATACATTTCTATGTTTAAGTCACCCAGTCCTTTGTTGTGGCAGCCCGAGGAGACTAATGCAGAAGGGACACCTTTTTTTGATGTGTGGTGTTTTGTACCATTTAAAAATTTTTACCATGTACGTCACTTTTTCAATTAAAACAATGCTAGAGGTTCTTTCTTCCACTAAATTTGGGATCAGTTGGTCAGTGAATTAAAAATGTTAAAGTGGTACAAATAAAAAATGGCAAATATATACTTTAATCTTTTTGAATCAAATGTATAAGTACACATTCACTCACCACTCTTTGAAGTAGGTCCAAGATCAGAAGAGCATGAATTTGCTAGTTGGAGCACTCCCTCTCTTTATAATAAACTGCATTGTTTATGATTTCCAGATTCACTTTTTTCAAAGTAGAGCAAGAACTTAGACACCTTTCAAGCAATTTAAGTGCCAAGTCAATCTAGATTTTGTACAATTTTTTCCCAAGGTTTTACACATTTTTCTTACCCATACCTAGTTCTACAGTAATTTTGGTTTGTTGTTTACCTTTATC